AATTATCATGGACACGATCAAAACCAAAAATTTTCACGGGATCGGGGTTCCAGAGGAGGGGGAGAAAATGGAAAACACAGAGAGGATTGTTGAAGATTTGCTGGCAGAAAACTTCCCAAATATCATAAAAGACAAAAAGCTGACCATCCAAGGAGCTCAATGAACCGCATATAGGGTAGACCCCAAAAGAAAAGTCTAAAGATATAATGCAATCTTGATCCAAACACCAACAGCATTTTTTTAACAAGATGGAAAAACTAACTACCAACTTTATCTGCAAAGGAAAGAAGCCCTGGATAAGCAAGGCATTACTGAAGAACAAAGAACAAAGTAGGAAGCCGCACTGTCTTAGTCATCTAGTGCTGCTCTAACAGAAATACCACAAGTGGATGGCTTTAACAAAAAGAAGTTTATTCTCTCACAGTCCATTAGGCTACAAGTCCAAATTCAGGGTGTCAGCTCCCGGGGAATGCTTTGTCTGTCATCTCTGAAGGAAGGTCCATGTCATCAATCTTCCCTTGGTCTGGGAGCTTCTCTGTGCAGGAACCTCAGGTCCAAAGGATGTGCTCTGCTCCCAGCACTGCTTTCTTGGTGGTATGAGGTTCCCATGTGTCTCTGCTTGCTTCTCTTTTATATCTCAAAAGAGATTGGCTTAAGACACTATCCAATCTTGTATACCTCATCAGTATAACTGCCGCTAATCCATCTTATTAGATCAGAGTGATTGAACTTACAACTCATAAGGAAATCACATCAGATTACAAAATGGTACACAATTATACAATCCTGGGAATCATGACCAGCCAAGTTGACAGATATTTTGGGGGGACACAATTCAATCCATGACACTCACATTACCTGATCTCAGAACCTACTATACAGTCATAGTAGTCAAAATAGCCTGGTACTGGTACAATGACAGACACATATGCCAAAGGAACAGAATCGAGAACCCAGACATAAATCCATCCACCTGTGGTCAGCTATATTTAACAAAGGACCAAAGTCCATTAAATGGGGAAAAGACAGTCTTTTTAACAAATGGTGCTGGCAAAACTAGATGTTCATTTGTAAAAAAAAAAAAAAAAAAAAAAAAAAAAATGAAACAACACCGATACCTCACATCATACACAAAAACTAACTCGAAATGGATCAAAGACCTAAATACAAAATCTAAAACAATAAAGACCATGGAAGAAAAAATAGGACAACACTAGGGGCCCTAATACATGGCATAAATACAATACAAACCATAATTAACAATGCACAAACACCGGAAAAGAAACGAGGTAACTGGGAGCTCGTAAAAAGTAAACACTTACACTCACCAAAAGACTTCACCAAAAGAGTAAAACGAGAACCTACAGACTGGGAAAATAATTTTGGCTACAACACATCCGACAAGGGTCTAAAATCTACAGAATACTTCAAATCTCAACAACAAAAAGACAAATAAGCTAATCTAAAAAATGGGCAAAGGATATGAACAGACAATTCACCAAAGAAGAGATTCAGGCAGCTAACAGACACATGAAGAAATGCTCACAATCATCAGTCATTAGAGAAATGCAAATCAAATCTACAACGAGATACCGTCTCACCCCTGCAATACTGGCACTATTTAAAAAAACAGAAAATAAGAAATGTTGGAGAGGTTATGGGGAGATTGGAACTCTTATGCACTGCTGGTGGGAATGTAAAATGGTACAACCACTATGGAAAACGATATGGAGCCTCCTTAAAAAGCTAGAGATAGAAATACCATACGATCCAGTAATCCCACTGCTAGGAATATATCCTAGAGAAATAAGAGTCATCACACGAATAGACATATGCACACCTATGTTCATTGGAGCATTGTTCACAACAGCAAACAGATGGAAATAATCTAAGCGCTCATCAACAGATGAATGAAAAAACAAATTATGGTACATATACACAATGGAATACTATGTAATGATAAAGAACAATGATGCATCTGCGAAACATCTCACAACATGAATGAATGTGGAGGGCATTATACTGAATGAAATTAAGTCAATCACAAAAAGACAAATATTGTATGAACCACTACTATAAAAACCCAAGAAAAGGTTTACACATAGAAAAAAACAATCTTTGATGGTTATGAGGGAATAGAGGGACAGGCAGGGGGAATCACTAACTAGATAGTAGCCAACTGTTAACTTTGGTGAAGGGAAAGACCACACACAGGGGAAGTCAGCACAACTTGACCAAGGCAAAGGCACAGAAGCTTCCTAGACACATCCAGATACCTTGAGGGACTGAGTTACTGGGGCTGAAGGCTGGGGACCATGGTCTTGGGGGGACATCTAGGTTAACTGGCATAACACAGTTCATAAAGAAAATGTTCTACATCCTAGTTTGGTGAGCAGTGTCTCAGGTTTTAAGAGCTTGCAAGCAGCCACGTAAAATAAATTTATTGGTCTTACCATGTTTGGAGCAAAGGAGAATGAAGAAAACCAAAGACACAAGGAAATTATTAGTCCAAAGGACTAATGGACCACATGAACCACAGCCTCTATCAGCCTGAGCCCAGAAGAACTAGATGGTGCCCAGCTACCACTACTGACTGCTCTGACAGGAATCACAATGGAGGCTTCCGGACAGAGCTGGAGGAAAATGTAGAAAAAAAATTCAAATTCACAAAAAAAGACCAGACTTACTGGTCTGACAGAGACTGGAGGAACCCCCAAGTCTACGGCCCCCAGATACTCTGCCAACTTGGAACAAAGCCACTCTTGCAAGTCCAACTTTCAGCCAAAGATCAGACAGATCTAGAAAACAAATAACAACACAGGTGAGGAACGTGCTTCTTAGTTCAGTCAAGTGTAAGAGACCAAATGGGCAACACCTGCCCAAAAGCAAAGACGAGAAGGCAAGAAGGAGCAGAAAAGCTGGAAGAATGGATAATGGGAACCAGGGGTGTAAAAGGAAAGGGGGAGAGTGCTGACACATTGCGGGCTTTGCAATCAATGTCACAAAACAATTTGTGTATAAATTTTTAAATGAGGAACTAATTTGCACTGTAAACTCTCACCTAAAACACAATTACAAACAAACAAAAAAAAAAAGCCAGCCTAGCTACGAGGCACACTTACCTCAATTTTATATGAACCTCATGTCAGTTGACTTCTTGATTGGAACTGGCTGTTTTATTAGAAAAGTTCAATTTGTTCTGTGAAATATGTGATCTTAAAATATTTGCTCTAATGTTTAATTATTATTTGGGTCATTATTTTCCTCATGAAAATCCAATTCCAACAAACTTGAGAGGTCAAAAACACTGATCGGGATTTTCGCCCATAAATCAGGTCAGTGGGAAAATCTGATTTGATTCATAGAAAACTGCATTCAGACTTTTTTCATGCTTTGCACTGTAAGGTGCAGCTGCTGTCATAATCATAATATTACTTGATATATTAACCAATGAATGAACCCCCACTGTATAATTTAAGAAGGAAGGATTAATGATAATAATATCATCAGATATCATACACTTCCAAGCACTCCTCAAACCCTCTTAGATTTGAATTTCCCAACATCCTGCTGAGTCAGGTAGACTCAGATAGTGTTCATCCTGTTTTATAGAAAACAGAAAACGTGGCCTAGAGAAGTAAGAAAATGAGCCCAAGTTCACACAGCAAGTCAACAGGAGAACCCAGTTCTATACTTCTTCCACAACTCTGCATCGATTCCGACTCATAGATACCCTATAGGACAGAGCAGAACTGCCCCGTAGGGTTTCCAAGGCTGTAATCTCTATGGAAGGAGGCTGCCACATCCTTCTCCCACAGAGCAGCTGGTGGGTTCAAACCACTGATCTTTCGGTTAGCAGCTATGTGTTTAACCACTGTGCCACCAGGGCTCCTTCTACATCTATGATGCTATCAAAACAGTGACTCAGAGAAATAGCATCAGTGGCGGCAACCATAGCAAAAACCAGAGCAGGTATCACGTGTTTGGTGCTGAGTGTGACACGTGCATCACTTCATTTAATCATCCCTTAGGTTAACATTATGAGTAGACGTCATCCTGTGTTACGGTTAGAGGGCCAGGGCACAGAGAATGAAGGAATCTGATTCAGATCACACAGCCAGTAAGTGGCAGAGCTGTGATTTAACCTCAGGTCTGTCTAACTGCTTGAGACTCTTCAACCTGTTCTCTGACAGATGGCTGCTGGCTCTTAGATTTCAAGTCATCAAGTCTTTGCTGAGAAGTCACCTTCTCAATGAGGCCTACTGTGAACACGTAGTTAAAAAAGGCACCCCCATCCCCACCCTGCCTCACCCTGCCCTACTGTATGATTTACTATTTCGGTTTTTAATGTCAATTGTTGATACAAGTTCCACAGGGGCAGGGATTCTCCCCCTCCGCCACCAACATACCCCAAATGCTTAGACAGTACTGCCTAATGGAACCTTTGTGACGATGAAAATATTTTACGTCTGTGCTAACACAGTAGCCACTAGTCACAAGAACCACACTGGAAATGTGGCTAGTGCTCCTGAAGGACTGAATTTTTCATTTTATTTAACTTTATTATTTAGATTTAAACAGCCACAGTGGTACCATGATGGACACTGCAGGCTTAGGACAATGCCTGGCACAAATAAACCCCCAATAAATACCTGTCTTGTGAATGAACTTATAAATACATGAACAAGACCTGTTTTCCAAACAGCCTACAGACTACTTTCACTAAACACAAATTAAACTTTACACTTTTTTTCCACCAGAATAAATGACTAAAAAAAGTCCAGATTAAAATTAAGAAAATAGTCTGAAAATTCAGATTATATGACCCAAGTAGCAAGTATAAAGTTCTCAAATGATTGGCTTCTTTTTACCATGGTGACTCAGAAACTTCCAAAACGTTTTCTGAAACCAGAGAGAATGCAAACCAGTGGCATATAATGAATTCCCATGTAGAACAACAACTATATATAATTACAACTATTACTATAATCACTCAATACCTTTTTGACCTTGTTTTTTTTCTCATAGGTCTCTGACAGGGGTTTTTTCTTCTGCTGAGTTGTGTCTTTGGAGAATAAATACTCAAATTCGCTAGTATCCCGAATATCAGGTTCTTCTAAAGAATCCCATAAGGTTGGTGTAGCATTTTGGCTTAAAAAAGAAAATGACAAGTTAAACTTAAGAACCAAAATAGAAGAGAATATAATACAATGAAATTTTTCTCAATTCATTTTTTTTTTAAATTCACTTTTAAAAACATATAAAATCCTAATAAAGCTCAGAGAAATATTCCTTTCACATTATAAATCTCTTTATGAAAGTCAAAATATACTACAGAATATTAAAGCAAACACACACTCTCAAAAAGAGACGATCAGTAGATATGATCAAAGAAAGAGATCTAGAGAAATCCTGTGGGACAAAACGCTCTTGGGTTCAGACTGTGGAGGCCATACATGCCAGTCCTTTCTCAGTCTTGTGGCATGTCCACAATGGGGAAAGGAGATATCATATAAAGCCTGAAAAGATAACCGATTTTGAGACACTGGTCGAACATTCTTAAATAGGCTGCAAATGGAATACTAAGGTGATGATCTGACCCTCTCTGGATTTGTTTCTGCCAGTTTTGAATACAGTTTTCAGGATTCGCTAAGGGGAACTCAGCACAGGGCCTTTAACATGTGAACAGCTGCGCCCATTTAAAAATACTTGATTAATAATCACCCTCCCTCCACAAAAAAGAACAAGAAAAGCAAATCAAAAACCTCCTCCATAGCACCATGCCCCAAAGAGATTTCAACTAAAGCAACCATGTAGAGAAACACTGTTTTGTTTTGTCTTCCAGAGTTTGGAAGCAGACAGAGGGAAGATGTGGAAGATGAGGGATGGATGCGTGGCCTTGAGAGCCAACCTAGAGGAGTTCCTGCCCATGTTCCCCTAGATCAGGAAACAGCTTCCAAATGTCTACTTTCTTCACATCTTTTTAAAAAACATGTTCAATGCCCACAGACAGAAAAAAAAAAAATTCTCATCTACACATTTATTGTTTTTAAAGCATATGCAAATGACATTATGACCTTTGCCTTCCTTTCAATACGTATTTTCTCAGTCAATGAAAATTTAAAAAAAAATACTATTATATGGGGTTGGTCCACAGGTTTTTTTTTTTTTTTATACTAAATGGCAATTTTCTTATTCAAAACAGTTGACAAAACTGGCTTTTCAGATCTGTGTGTTCACATTTTGCCGTAGGTCTGTCTTTCCCATGAAACAGGACATTCTGGTTCTGACACATTCACTTCTTCTTCCCCCTACTTTTTTACAAATCATTTTTTCTAATATAATATTTTAATTTTTTAAGAGCTATAGAGATGTATAGATATGGAGTCCTGGTGGTATAACGGTTAAGCATTCTGCTGCTAACTGAAAGGTCTGCAGTTAGAACCCACCAGTGGCTCCATAGGAGAAAAGAGCTGGTGATCTGCTCCCGTAAAGATGACAGCCTAGGAAATCCGATGGGGTAGTTCTACTCTGTCACATGGGGGCACTAGGAGTTGGAATAGACTCCGTGGCACACAACATATAAAACATATGTCAGTTATAAAGTATACTATAATGAACACCTGTGAAATCGTCCCCCAACCCAAGGGCTAGAACATTTCCGGTGACGTGCTCCTTCCTCAGCCATCCCCCTCTTCCGCTACTTCATTTTTAAACACAGAATATCACGAATGTTAAGTGTTTATGTCAGCTGTACCAAAGAAGGGAAATCTAGATTGGGAAAGAGAGACAGGTAATATTGGAGCATGCAGCATGTTAAGGGCTGCTAGTGCGAGGTCACGAAGTTCTGGGCAGCTAAGGAAAGGGTGCAGAGAAGGAGGTGAAGCAAGACAGACTGCTCAGACCCATCCTCCATCTCATGCACCTGTACTGCTTGGCCCCAGCTCCGAGGATTCTGAACCCAGGCCAGTACGACTAGTGCTATAATTCACTCATATTCTGGAATAAAATGGCTTTGGGATCCGGATGAGCACCTCATTACCATTTACAAAATTGTTTCTATGTTTATTTCTAACACTGAACAAAAGACCTCTGCAACACCACCTCTCAGTGAGTTGGGGGGCAGCTGACATTGGGCGGGGCAATAACAAGCACCCAGTTGCAAGGGGCTGTCTGCCATAATGGTCAATTGCTCTCCAACCACTAAACACAGCATTCCAGTTCAAATGCAAAGAAGAGAAGGAGGAGGATGACGAGGCGAAGAGGAAGAAGAAAATACCAATTTGGATGCCAAAAAGGTAGTTTGATGAGGATTTTCTTTTTCTTTAACTAAATATCTCCTTCCCATTCTAGAAACCAGGTAACAGTTACCAGAGAAGGCAAAATGGCAATAGAAAAAAAATTAGTTCGTGCTAATTCTGGGAAAAGTAATCTAAGTGGATGAGAGGCAATGTACATATAATGAAGAAAATCTGTATTTTGTTCCTGGTCTCCAGAGGATCAAAACATATTATGTGCCCACAATACAAAGTGCTTACCCCTTTCGGGGCAGAAATTATTAAACACCATTTCAGCTCCTTTAAAAGGGCACATCTAAACTAAGTTTATTTCTGTCCATAAATGAATACTACAACACCAGGATCTTTAGACCATTGTAGTTTAAAAGAAGTAGCAGTGCGTAGAGGTACAAAAACGTTTTGAGGATACATAATAAAGCAGACATCAAATGCGTGGTGCCTGCAGCAAGTGACCATGTGGAAGTCTTCACACATGAGAGAGGGGAATCCCTCCATTCTCCACCCCAAACTCAGGTTCAAGGCCGACACGTTCACCAAGCAGGGCTCTCCTGACATCCTGCGCTGGGAAGTTATGGACATTCATCTACTTTTCATTTGGCTCAAAGCTGAAGCCCTAGACTAAGGTGAAACCAATTAGAGTTGGAGAATTCAATTGTTTTCCTTCTCAAAACGGCAGCCCACATAAGGAGGAAAAAATGCAGACGGAGATTATCTCCAGCTTGCCGTCATCCCACGCTGAATGGTGGGTGAAGGGCCCCTATCTCCCAGTGGGGCTATTACACGGCTGCTGGGGTCTGCGGTGGTGGTTACTCATGACACCTCAAGGGGAATGACGTGGATGCAGGCTAGTGGGCCCCAGGTGTGGGACAGCACCATGCTGCCGGGGCCTGCCACTCGAGGGCCGACAGGTGGGATTCGTCAGCTTAGAAGGACTGCTCACTAATTTGAGAATGCTAACAAGGGAACATGACTCGAAATAAATCTTGTGGGAAATTCTTTCTTAGAAAAGTGTCATCTGAGTTTTGAATGGGAAAAGGGTCATATTAATACTTTCGTTAATGGTAGGAGCTATTTCAGGATCATCTCATGTTTTCTTAACCATTCTTCTGGGAAATTAAAAGGATTTTCCACAAATAAACTCTTGGCCCACTCTTCTTTTTTGGTGAGAGGAAAGGGGATGTATAATCAATCAACTTGGTTCACAATCTGCTTCGTTTTAAGGTATTCCCCACTCCTTCTATATTGATATCCAGTTGCTTTATGATTGTGAATTGCAGGTTATTTTGTTCAGTATTCCTCCTGTCCCCAAGGACATTTCTATATAAATAGAAAAATTTACCTCCATACCTTGATTTGGGGAATCAGTTCAAAAACTGAAGTTTAAAAATGTGTTCTGTATTTGCTGTTCATTGCAATAAACGAACTTCAAAACTATAGACTGGTCACGAAGCAGCTCACCATCTCTCTACAGCCCTCCTGACAGGCTCAGAAATGAGGCAGTATCAATCAGATTCAAATCTGTTTGAATGGAAGTTTCCGAACAACCACATCTTGCTGCCTTACAGACTCAAGCTTAACAACCTATACAAGCAAAATGTTTGTTAGCTACCCACACATCAACACTTTCTCTGAAGGGCAACAAGGGATACAGGTGTGAGTGCATTTAGCAGTTAGGAGAACCAGAGTTCAAGTGGAGAGAATTCATATTTTAAGATGCGAAGAGTTAATGACTCAGTGATGTCTGGTTCTTTTAGTAAAAAAATGAAAAAAATACACATATCTGTTCAATATCCAAATCGTAAGGTTGATGATACCATCTAAAGACAAGACAATGAATCATGAAAGATATTCTAAAATAATTTTCGGTAAGCCTATCGTATAGATTCAGCCCAATTTCTTTCTGATTACCCACTAACTGCAGGGATGTTGAAGAAGGCCCTAGCTCAGCCCTGGACTCTGCTCTAGTCTGTAAAATGGAACACTTATCCTCCAGAAGGATCTGAGACTAAACACTTCATTTCTCCCAGCATCAGCCCATAGAGAAGACAGAGAAGACCCGATGGAGGCAGACGTTCTCCCCTAAATACTCCACCCTTGTTTACCCAAGGCATGCATCGTACCACATCTGAGAGTGAGTACCGCACGAAGCAGACACTGAGCTGGTAAGAAGAGAACAACACTTGGGAAGAATCCTGGGAATTCATAAGCTGCGAATGGGCCAGGGGAGTTTAGCTTACCTCTTATCACTTATTTGTATTCTAGTCCAATACAAAGGCTTCATGGGACAGCTGGGCTCAATGGCTGGCTTTCGAGGACACTGGCTGGAAGGAGCCCCAACTCCAAAGAAGAGCCCAGGAGGAGGTGGGGGTACAAGTCCTGGGGGTGCTGGAGCAGGAGGTGGCCCCCCGCTGTTAGGCACAGGAGGTAAGTTAGGAAGGGGGGGCGGGGGAGGGGGCGGGGGAGGTCCAGCACTTGGAGGTAGAGGAGGCGGTGGAGGTGGTGGCGGAGGCGGTGGCGGTGGTGGTGGCTGCCCAGCACTCACAGGCGGTGTGGGAGGTGCTGGCCGCAGAGGTGCAAGGCCAGGTGGAAGTGGAGGAGGGGGAGGGACACAGGCTGGAAGAGGTGGTGCAGGAGGGGGAGGTGGTGCCTTCTGCTGATTAGATGAGATGCTTTCCACACACTGAGGTGGGGCATGGACGTCTTTGTTGTCATTTGGGGGAGAAAGTTGGCTTAAAGAGGAGATATTCAGCTTTTTGGGTACTATGTGGTTACTTCTGGCTGGCTGGCTTTCTCCTTCGCAGGGTTTGAGGAAGGTCTCCCTGTCTGTCTGGATGCACACGTTTCTGTAGGTCTTTGGAAGGCAGTCGTCATCGGTGGAAACGCACGCATCTCTCATCTCTTGCGGCCCTCCCCGCCATCGGTGTTCTAACTCATGCTTGAGATTCTCAACGGTTTCTTCTAGTCTCGCTGTTATTGCTGCGTGCTCACCCCGCATATGAAAGGCTCTAAGTTCAAACTGGGCCTGGAGGGACATCAGTGGGAAAGAGAGTAAAGAGTTTATGAAAAACAAACATAAAACAGACAAGCAATAGGGTGCCATCATGGCACAGCCCACGTACATGAGGGACGCACAGAGACGTTCTTTCAAGAATCCAAAAGGGTATAAATTTCATTTTATGAATTTTCCAGAGACTTAGACAGTTGAAGTAGCAGCGTAATTTCATCCAGTCTGAGCTCATGGGGAATAATTACCATGGATTAAGGTTTAAAATAAAACCGTCACCTAAGAACTTTCACCCGGTTTTAATATCAAATACGAAACCGAACTCTTAATAAAGGTTTGGACGTGCTTGAATACATCTTTTTTAACTTTTGGTTTGGGTTTGGAAAAAGAAAACCATAAGAAAAAAGGAGGTTTGGAGATCCTTCTGGCTCGGTGCTTCTGTTCTCACAGTCGTCCTCAGGACACCTGCCCTGACGGGGCCTCCAGGCCGACGCTGCAGAAATACAAGGTGCAGAGAAAGAACAAAGCCACACATGCTTTTTGCTTTTTTAATTTTTTTTTTATTGTACTTTAGATGAAGGTTTACAAAACAAACTAGCTTCTCATTAAACACATATACAGTACACATATTGTTTTAGGACAATGGTTAACAACCCCACAACATGTCAACACCCTCCCTTCTCCACCTTGGGTTCCCCATTACCAGCTTTCCTGTCCCCTCTGGCCTTCAAGTTCTAGTCCCTGGGCTACTGTGCCCCTTTAGTCTCATTTTGTTTTATGGGGTTGTCTAATCTTTGACTGAAGGGTGAACCTTGAGAGTGACTCCATTACTGAGCTGAAAGGGTGTCCGGGGGCCATACTCTCATGGTTTCTCCAGTCTCTGTAGGGCCAGTAGGTCTGGTCATTTTTTGTGAGTTAGAATTTTGTTCTACATTTTTCTCCAGCTCTGTCCGGGACCCTCTGTTGTGATCCCAGTCAGATCAGTCAGTGGTAGCAGCTGGACACCATCTAGTTATACTGGACTCACATGCATTTTCTAAAGTTACCATACCAAAGCTCCCCATGGTCAGTATTTGTGTCAATTTCATACTATAGTAATATATAAGCAATATAAATGCATGTAAAGTATGAGGGTATTAAAATTTGCTATTTTTTCTCTTCTACACACTGAGTATTTCAAACTATATTTAATAAGACATCAGCCATTTTGATACATAGTCCTTCAACTATTTTAATCCCTTGATTCCATGGTTCTACATCTACTAGCAAACAGCTGGTATACTCTCAGTAATCAGCTAGTCTGTTTTCCAGCATTCAAAGCTGTTTAGCCTATTACAGTTAACTAGGAATCAATCAAATTTATAATTTTATGAGAGTTTCCAAAACTCAATTTAACAGTAATTAAGCATTTTGGGTGAACTTATTTAATTTCTTCCTCCCTCATCAGAGTAGAACTCCTCGAGATGTAATCAGTGATGACAGTATTTGTCTTTACTTTGGCATCATCCCAGCAGCTAGCAACAGCAAGTACGTAGCATTCAATGGATAGATAAAAGCCACTGCAAGGGCTCTGTTCACCTCCATTGCCTCAAGACTCATCCTTACAGCTAACCAAGACTCTCTTCAGCTATAGTTTCAGCCTGCAAATATTGAAAACATAGAAGTATAAACAAGTGCTGATTCCTTTCACATTGAAAAAGAAGTTTTTTAAAAAAAAAATTTTTTTTTTTTTATTGTACTTTAGATGAAGCTTTACAGAACAAGTGGCTTCTCATGAAACAGTTAGTACACATATTGTTTTACAATGGTTAACAACCCCACGATATGTCAACACTCTCCCTTCTCCACCTTGGTTTCTCTATTACCAGCTTTCCTGTCCCCTCCTGCCTTCAAGTCATTGTCGCTGGGCTGGTATGCCCCTTTAGTCTCGTTTTGTTTTATGGGGTTGTCTAATCTTTGGCTGAACGGTGAACCTTGGGAGTGACTTCATTACTGAGCTAAAAGGGTATCCAAGGGCCATACTCTCAGCGTTTCTCCGTCAGGCCAGTAAGTCTGGTCTTTTTTTGTGAGTTGGAATTTGTTCTACATTTTCCTCCAGCTCTGTCCGGGACCCTCTGTTGTGATCCCTGTCAGAGCAGTCAGTGATGGTAGCCGGGCACCATCTAGTTGTACTGGACTCAGTCTGGTGGAGGCCGTGGTAGTTATGGTCCATTATTCCTTTGGACAAATCTTTTCATTGTATCTTGTTTTCTTCATTCTCCCTTGCTCCCAAAGGGGTGAGACCAGTGGAGTATCTTAGATGGCTGCTCACAGGCTTTTAAGACCCCAGATGCTACTCACCAAGGTAGAATGTAGAACACTTTAAAGAAGTATTTTTAAAGCCTAGTCAGGCAAGCTAAAGAAACAGGGAACTTTTCTAGCTTCATTAACAAAAATTTTAACTTTTTTTTTACTAGGTTTGCCTTTTACTTAATATTCATTCTCAGGAACCAGCTCCCAAATAGCTGTGAACAGTAGAATTTAGAGACAAGTGTTTTTCTAACTGTAATCTTCCCGCATGGGGACAAGGCTGTCCTTAGCCTAAGAGTTTGAGAGCTCAGGACACTGTCTATTTCTCACATAGCACAAAGGGCTAAGTGCCTGAGTTCTGGATTCACACCATTTGGTTCACATCCTGGCTTAGCCGCTTAACTAGCTCCACGACTTTGGGCAGGGAACTTTGAGTCTCCACGGCCGAGTGTCCGAAGCGTAAAATCAGGCTAACGTGAGCCATCTCTAAGGCTTCTACAAAGGTAAAATGACATACCTCATGCAAAGCCGTAGGCCTTTTGCCTGGACCACTGTAAATTCAAAAGGAATCTTACTGTTAGTTCCTGTTGTTAATTAACATATTAACGGTAAAAGGCTAACCAAGTTTTAATTATTAGTCTTAAAGCTCAAATAATGCCACCTTTGTTGAGTGATAGGCACCAGACTAGGAAAAGCTTAAACAATCAGACTAAGCAATGTACTATAAAAACAAAAGTTTGCCCAGCCTTAAACGTTTGGCTGCTAACCTAAAGGTCTATAGTTGGAATCTACCAGCTGCTCCTTGGAAACCCCATGGAGCAGTTCTACCCTGTTCTTTAGGGTCACTATGTTTTGTTTTGTTTTGTTTTTCATGAATTCTACTATCAATTACCTGAAAGTAATTTCAAACTTTATTCAACTATGTGGTCAAGATAATCTTTCTCTCTCTCTCCTCTTCCTCCAACCTATCCCCGATTTCCACCCTGAACTACTGCCCAAAAATTTAAATTTATTTTAATGCCACAAAATACTCAAACTCTTGGTTGCTGTTCCCAACAAAACCTTCTTCTAAGAAGGTAAAGACTCAAATAATTTGGATGAACCGATAATTTTGCCAATCCTCAACTTCTCAATGACACGAAAAAGTTGCAGAGACGTGTTCCACAGAAAAACGCTCCCATTAGCAGACAGCTGACCTGTATCTACAGTAAACGCCTTGGTCCCCACTTCTCATCTGTCTACCTCCCAACCATCCAGCTACTGAAGCTGCTCAAGCCGGAGTGCATTCCTAGATCTTATTCTGCTGTCTCCGACTTAATGCGTGTATTTACTGTAGTAGGTAGAGCACAAATCAAGCAGGTTACTTAACCTTTCTGTACCTGTTTCTCATAAGGAAAATCGGGATAATAATAGAATCCACTCCACAGGTAGTTATGAGAAGTAGATAATATAAAACAACACACAGACAAGCATTGGAGCACAGTAAGTGCTATACAAGTTTGCTATCATTGTTATTGTCTCTTTACTGTCATTCACATCACAGAGGCCAGTGGCCACATCAACTTGCTTTGAAATTTTTTCATGCTTCCCAGGGCCATGTTCTATCCACACTGCTCTATCCATGAAAAGCAAAAACTCTTGTCGTTGTTAGCTGCCACTGAGTCGGCCCCAACTCATGGCAACCCTACGCACAGCTAAACGAAACCCTGCCCAGTCCTGCCCAATCCGTTCCCGTGATAGGTTGTGGATTGGACCATAGTGTTGCCATTGACTGATTCTCAGAAGTAGATTACCAGGGCTTTCTTCCCAGTTCATTTTAGGCTAGAAGCGCCACTGAAACCTGTTCAGCATCACAGTGACATGAAAGCCTCCATGGACAAATGGGTGATGGCTGCACATGAGGTGAACTGACGAGGAATCAAACCTGGGTCTCCGGCATGGGAGGCAAGAATTCTACCACCGAAGCACCACTGCCTCCAAAGAAAAACAGGTATCAAGACCTCCTTTAAACCCTTCCAGCTGTCACCCTTTCTCACCTCACCTCTTCCTTCACAGCACGGCTTTTTGAAAAACCACTAAAACCCTGCTTTACCTTTCTCATCCACTCAGTTCTTATTTACCGTTGGTTTCCATCTCCACTGTACCATTGAAACTCCAGAATCTGGTGGTTACATTTGCTCAGTATTTTTCAGTGACTGCCCTCTCAGTCACATTTGTTAAAGCTGACTGTTGTCCATGCCGTGAAATTCTCTCTGCCTCCCTAACTTCTGATATACTCTCCCCTCCCCTTTTCCTCCTACTTCTCTGCTCTCTCCAGTCAATCTGTGGACTCTCTTCCTCCAGCACCCCTTAAATGCTCCCCAGGCATCTTCCTCAGCATTTCTTCCTTCTCACACCACACAATCACTCTAAAACCAAAAAACCAAACCCGTTGTTGTCGACTCAGTTTCGACTCATTGAGACCCTACAGGACAGAGTAGAACTGTCCCATATGGTTTCCTTTCCAAGGCTGTAAATCTTTACAGAAGCAGATTGCCACATCTTTCTCCTGCAGAGCAGCTGGTGGGTTCGAACTGCCAACCTTTCAGTTATCAGCAGAGCTCTTTAACAACCGCACCACCAATGCTCCTTACGATCTCTCTGGGTGAGTGACCTCATTTACCATACGCTGGTGATTTCCACACTGGTACCTTAATACCCTAATTCCAACTGTCCCTGCCCTGGACTGA